CGTAAATTTGGAACTGTGTCAGCTTTCTGAACAACTCCGTTACTAACCAAAAAAAGTGAAACACAATAGCAAGGAATAACAATTAAAATCAGATTAGATTTACACATCAATATAACGAGAAATTATTTCCTATAATACAAATTAGGTAAATAGAAATCACGTATATTATATACAATAAACTTTAAATAAATTTTCAAATAGACAGTACGTATCTAAATGGCCATCTTGTTAGAATTACAGCACGCACACTCAGTTAAAGCAAGTAAAAAGCGTTAGGTCGATGTGAACGGTGTGCGCCGGCGCCAGGATGCGGCTTATTAAGGCAATTAGAAGCTGATCTATTGCTGTGATGCGCTAAAAAAGAATTGTCAGTGGAATTCAAATGAACGACTAGAAAATGTTATGCCAAACTATCCTTTAAATATTGCTACAAATTAAAGTGAACTTATTCAGAATAGGATTAAAATAATTAAAATAATTCTGGTATTAAAGAACAATTATAAACTTAAAAACGTGGCTATATTTTTTTTTATTTTACCCAAAAATGAACACAAGAAGTATGTATATCTCTGATTAAAAACTACATACTTATGATAAAAAAACCATGAATTATGATTATTATCTATATTGGACGCTATGATAAAGGACTTGCACTGTGTAATGGATAAACAAAACACTAACTAATCTCATAAATCTCTATATGAAACAGCCACTTAATGCTGGTCTAGCCTAATATAATAAATTGAAACGAATGCCGGGAGTTATTCCACCATAGCTCATGTGCTGCCTTATCTGAACGTCTATCTCCTAAATGGAGATCCATTCATCAAGACAAGCACTTAGTTGAATTGGGTCGCGTGCGCCTGCGCACTAGCAGATCACGAGACCATTTCACCTTAATGTGGTATTGGGTAGATCACGAAAGAAATTCTGGTCACTAGATATGTGCCTAATTGTTTTTATCGATTAATTGAGCCTGTTTAATGGCGAGCTTTTAGGTGACCGTAATGTTAATAAAATATTGAGCACCCCTAGTAGCTAAAATACCGAAACAGTGACAGAACCACGGCTGACACATTTTATTGCGACTTGGTATAAAGCCATTCATAAATCAAGAATTAAATCCTCAGAATAAGACACTAGACAGTAAATGAAATGACTAACGTAACAATGGATAGGTTCTGGATTGATGCCAATTTCTAACTTTTAGACAATGTCATTCCGATATATTATATTTTCCGTTGTGTCACGGTCGCATATGTATCTGACACTTCTCCACCTTACACTGAGATCATAGGTTTGATTACCGCATGAAGCAAAATTCAAAAGGTGGAATGGGATATATGTTACAATTAATAACACACTGTGTATAAATACAATATATTAATTGAAACATAAAACTAATTACTGTATTTTTCTTTTCCTAACACAACATAAATTATTTATAATGTTTATTTTTATGAAGGTTATCAGTTGCAAATGTAACTTCGACTCTATATTATTTTTAAAGGAAACGGTGATTATGAAGTTACTAACTATTAAGAACTTATATTCTCTAGCCAAGGGCTAGTTGTGCAAACATAAAACATAACTCATAGAGCCTGATCACTTACGTAAATCATGAACGTCAGTTTATAGGTCTGTAGGAAAAGTTCTCGATAAATACCAGTGTAATTTTTAACATAACTGATCCCGTCGGGGTGGTCGGTGCTTTTAATGCAATGCAAAGCCGCTCGGGGCGCACCCGACTTGAAATATCACGGAATCTTGCAACAGGCCAGATGAATATTGCATGTACATTCATCTGCCTCATTCCAACTACCATTTCTATGATAAAACTATCTGGCGCACTCACAATAATGCTATGAAATCGTCGTGAGTAATATGTACGCTTAAAAACGTGGAATATAAAGTCATTCCGGATAATAACCTGGACCATCAAGACATTGAGATATATAACTTAAATCCAAAGCCAGTTTTAAGTGCTTAACTATGTTGAACTAGGCAAAATATTGCGATTTCCAAGAACGTGACATCCGTTTAAACTTCTAAAAACAACTGATATAATCGAGGTGATGGTCACCCACGGCTGATACGTGTTTTGTTGCAATACGCTTGTTTGTGTATCCTAATAAGGGAACGCACCTAAAAAGTAAATGGTAGATGGCCAATTCAAAATTAAAATAAAACGTAATAAAATATAAACAATAGGCCAATGTATACATATTATAAATAAATTAGTAATTATAACATCGCAACCCTATATGCAACAAGTATTATGATACGACTCGGAAGTTGCATATAAACGTTTTGTAAGTCCGAAGATGCGATAGCAATCTACGGAAACTGAACACATTCGAGTTTCGCTTCTATTATGAGAAGGCGGCGTAACGGCGACTGCCCTCTGAACCGCTATGCAACCAAATCACATCATACACAATAGAAACTAAACTTCAGACCTAATGGAGTCAGAATACACTAGGAAGCGTTCCGCTCTGCATTTCCATGCAGGAGAGAGTTGGATGACTATCGCGTTACAGTGTCCGTTTCAACGAGCAACCGCGGATGTGTAACTTGAACAGAGAAACATTACGTTTCACGTTGGAACGGTGAAGGCGGCTTTATCCCAGCAAATCGCTGGTCTTTGTTGACAGTTAATAAATTACTCGGCAGCGTAATCGTCGTCTCCGTTGTAACTGTCGCGTGCAAAGGAAACGATATTCCAATTTAAAGCCTACTCTCTGTAAGTTTTTGAGTCGCTCGGAGGAAACTACTTGTTTTTGCATTCCATGATAAATAGCCTCTCAGCACTCACGGGGTATTGTAATAAAACTAAATCAGTCTGCGGTGTCGCAATCGGCATCTCTATTGTTCTACAATGTAAGGGACTGCGTTTGTGCACAATGGTTAGCGATTGTCGTAAAAGATGGCAGGAACTGAATGGTTTGGTTGTTTGACCGATTGTACGTAGCCTTCTAGTCTGACCCTTTCAAGTCAACGTCAACGATTGAATGCAAAGACGTGATTGATATCGCCATGCATTATAGTCTGTTATCCTCTTCGCTTCGGTATTTATTAACGTCTGCTTTATAAGATAAGAAAAACAACGTTAACCGACACATTTAGATTTCGTTAGGGGTTCGTTATCAATAACTCGATATTATCGACGTAAGCAATAAAATATCTTGTGGTGCACATGAATTATACAGTTCTTTTGTTTCGATTCGACAGCATTATTCTTTAAGATGTATTGGCACTGACACTAAATGATTCAGTTTAATAATCAAACGCGTATTCTGAAGAATCCTACGGTGTCTATAAGTAGACGAGAGCATTAATTTTGCGATCGTGAGTCATAAAGTCTGTCTACACTTTATGAAGGTATTTTACAATAAATAACAAAGGCAAAATAAAAAAAATATATTTTTTTTTTACTTTAGATGTAGATAAATTTGTTCAAATACGGCAGTTATAGATTTAACATAGATTTTATTGCAAGTACATATCTGGAAATGAATTGTATACCTAGTGTCGAACACTTACATGACTTAGACCACTTTCATTTAAATAATCAGAGTGTTTTAACGACAATGGGTTAACCGTAAGTAGATTAATTTCTTGAAACACGCGTGCGACACCAAAATCGTGACGTCACGTTAGCAGATACGAAGTAAACGGTTGTGATTCATTCGTCAAAACGTCCGTGAAGCGCGCGGGCGCATACTGATGCCGCCCCATCGCCTTCCAGCATACTAAACGAGGTACCTAGTCTCTCATCGTAATATAGACATACCCACATGGACGAACTTTTCCAGAATTTTCCGAGCCTTACCTGTAACGATAAAAATTCGTGTTAAAAAATAAATAACAATCTCATTACATTAGTAAAGGGATTTGCATATTAAAAAATGGTTTTATTTATATTAATTCCAAATCAATATGATCATAGATTTTAAGGTTACTCCATACATATGTACTAAAGAAGAAGTGGATACAAATTAAGATAATATCAGTAAGAAACCATATAAAGCTGTTACATAACCCAATGTAAACACATCGAAGCAAGAAAAGCGTGCGAGTAAATGCAACAATTGCTTAATAGAACAAATAATGAACGTACACGATTCTTGCTCTATAATGGAGCAAAATATTTGCGCAAGACCACTCGAAACTGTCGGGTATCTCGATAGTTTCATTGCGCTATGACATTTACATGTGTTTCTATAATTGAATTACCGGCTCAGATTGGTAGCCGTAGTTTATACCATGGAGATGGATCGCATATTTTTGTTGTGTTGTGCAATATTAAAACGTTGGTACAACGCGTTCAAGGTTCTAATCTGAATTTCAATTGATTGATTGTATGTATTTTTGGAGTTCCGACTTTGTTATAATATTAATATTAACATTTAGGCTGAGCACGCCAATAAAGCTCCCAGTTGCATTTCCGGCAATTTGCACAAAACCTTAATGAATTATACACATAAACCTTCCCCATGAATCACCCTGTTCATTTGTGAAAACCGTATGCAAATTTGTTCAGTAATTTTTGAGTTTATCGCGTTCAGACAAACAGACAGATACAGTGGGGGAACTTTATTTTATAATGTGTGGTGATAAAGAAAATAATATTTTATTTGTTCATATTGCCCAGATATTCCTTAAACATTACACTTGAGTATATTATAACTGCTTAGCTTAAAATAACGAACTCCTATTTAATTAGGAAAAACTAATATTACGGAATCAAAATTGCTAAACAATCTGAGAAAATGAGAAGCAAATCAAATTTAAAATACAATACCATAACGTGGAAATTGAAGTTACGTCAGGAAACGTGACAAAAGACTTTGAGTGGTGCTTCGTGACACCAATGACAAAAATAATGAGCCCGAAATGCTATAAACCAAAAATGATAGCAATCAGCGATGGACCAACACGCCAATGGAACATAATGTAATAGTTTATAAGAAAACTGTAGTATATGTCGACTACACCTAATGTTGAAGTTCGTAGATATAGCTGTTGTAGATGTTGTATTAGACGGCATGTGGACTGACACGACCAGAGCTCGTATTGTTTGGGAATATCACGACGCGACCGTTTGAACACTATCGTAGGGGAATACTTAATAACGTCGATCCTTGATAGTAAACACGCAATTAAGTAACATTGTGAACATTTTGATGTGTACAATAAATAGCCTTGAAAGATATTTTGAATCATATAAAATTTTTCGTTTTGTGAACAAAGTAGTTACCTAGTTTTTAATCATATGACTTTATATAGGATCCTAGGTATAAAATCATCTTAACAAATATAAATAAACAATATACAATAAGAAATATATAACTCTATTTAGAATCTTACTTTACTTAAGAGCTCAATACTTCGCAAAAAGAAAACACTGAACACACACTCCATGTAGAACTCAAAAAGCTCTTAGTACATTAGCTTTACAATGAAAGTAAACCAATCAGACAAGAATGAAGAAGTCAGACACAATTCTCAGACACACGCAACTCACAAACAATAGTGTTCATTCATTATGCCATCCCTTTTTACATTGGGTTTTTTAAAACACTATGTCTAACGTTATGGCGTCTCTACACAATCTACCGAACAAGGTATACATTTTGTAAAATACTAGCATTTGAAAGTTCTATAGAGCAGACGCTTGATAAGATAATAGCTGCCACCCCTCGATCACTATCTCCCTAGCCATAATTGGTATGAGAGAAAGTGCAAAATATAACTCAATTAAATTTTCAATTTCGTTGTCTATGTTAATAAAAGTGAAAATCAACAGTTAATATGACGTCGACGCCATATCCGGTGCTTGGAGGTTTCCTATCACCGAGTGGGCCACTTCGCTTTCTAGGAAGAGCCCAGCGAAATGACGGACGAGCGACACGCGAACAGAATATTAAGAGCTAAATTATTGCACTGTTCAACGTAACATCCTTTGATTAATCATCACAATACCCACTGAGAATGAACCCATAAAACAACCATACAGAGACCATGATTGAAATTAAGAAATGTTAGATTACACTTTTGATTAAGTTTAATGTTCTGTTGTTTATTTACTTAACTTTGCTTTGTAATTAGTTATTTTTGGCATTTAAAATAGTTACGTAATAAGAAAGAAGTCAAGGTGACATTGATCTATAGTATAACGACTGAATATATTTTTTAAATGATAAACTAAATGTATGGTGTAAACTCCAATACGATAAAATAAACCCGTGTTAAATAAGACAAACAAGTCATCTGTTATATATAAAATTATAATAACTTATCTTCTAAGTTATAAATAACAATTACTTATAAATAACAATAAATTTACTGTATCTTACCAAATATATTTTTTTAAGAGGAAGAATACGTAATAATTAAGAACAACTTGTGACTGTTAAAAAAACGCCAAATAGTAATACTAAATTCACAAAAAAAACATTAATTATCTAATGTGTAATAATGTTATTTCGGCGTTGCGCACTGTTTAGTGGTGAACGACCCTTTGGAGTGGTATCGTTTACACCCGGCTAATAGAATTCATCTCACACCTCGGCCAAGCACCGTTACACTATGCTAGTCTCATTCAATATGCGGATTATGTTGCGCATTTTGCCAGTGCACTTTATAACAATAAAATACTAAGTTATATAACTACACTAGCGACTCACTCTCGCTCCGTGCGGATTCGTCCCTACTTACGTTTTAACGTTTACTATAGATTTCTCAGGGATGAGATATTTTCCCGCTGTAAAAAGTATCCTTTTATGTTGACCCAGATAACCAGCTATTAATTATCATACCAAATTTTATCAAAATCCCTCCAGTGGTTTATCCGTTGGCGTCACAGACATACAGACATACGGACAAAAATTCTAAAAACTATAGATTCGGCCTCTGTATCGATAATAATGATTATTTCAAGAAGATTTTCCAAAAAATATTTAATGTACAGATTCGACTTAGAATTTTATTATATGTATAGATTATGAGAAAATTAAAGTTTAGAAATGTCTTAGTATATTTACACTGATGTTTTCTATTACTAAATACCCAGACGATTACTCCGGGGTCAGCCTGAACTTGAATGTCTCGCACCTCACCAAAAACTCATTCAAATACATCGCCACTGTTTTCTCAATTTCGTGTGTTCGAAGAGTTGCATCAGCACTTACAAAATATCGAAGGCCAAATCGAATGATAATGGTGATAGTGCGTAAATATTTAACTATGAGCTTGCGCGCGTGTAAAAGATTATATTCTTATCTAGACAACCATGTTCGAACTATGGGGGATAATATGAGATTGCAATAAACTCACAAAGCCGCGTTGTGTTTAAACTAACCATGGGAACACCAAACAAGTCGGTGTAATGGAGTATGATCCAGTCATAAACATATCCCTGCACCGAAGCCTTCGTTGTTTCTTTTGAGATTACTCTTAAAGTATATATTAGATATTTTATCAGTTAACATTTTCGGAAGTAATAAATCTACGCCGAGGTCCAAATTTAACGCGAACATCAAACAATTGAATGAATAAACAAAATATTAACGGAAAAAAATACATTTGTTTATAAACAGCCAGATGTAAAATAGCATAGATCGACCGAGATTTTATAAATAAAATGGATTCAACAGTATTGTAATGTAGTTATTTTGAGCAATAATAACACTAACATTTTAAAAATACGACATAATATTATGTTTTATATAATAACCCAGAACAGTGTCTTCAATGGCAGATTCAGACAATATTTTTGTTGAAATTTATGTAACTATTATAATACACTACCGTATCACTTCTCAATATCTTAGTGCTTGTGATAAAGTTTAGGTAAAAATTGCTAACTAATATTAAATAATTATCTATATATTAAAATCAATAAAAAACCGAGTTTAACGAGTTTGTTTTAAAAAAGATAGTAAGTTTTTTAGCTGAATACCATAGAGCCATTAACTTGAATTAACCCTGCAGGACTTTACCAGCGCTATCTTTGCAAAAAATCACGACTCGCGTTCACGGGTCGGGGTCGCGCTCCTAACGGCGGTCTTTGCATATCATTTGCATGAATCGCCAAGTGACGAACGAACTCGCAAGCGAGAACGCTCGGGAGTCGGGACACTCAGCGGTTGGCCGTTGAATGATTGCCAAACAATCCACCCGCGACCATCTTTATATGGCTCTATCACTATGCGAAAATACGAAATAAATATTTGTGAATCATCGTTATGCCTTTTGTGGAAGGTCGCAGGCTAATCATACGGTGATGCGTATATCACTCATGAAGGAAATAAACCCGCTGACGTGTAGAACTAGCTTTAATTAATCGTTGTCTTATATTAACACACATCAAGTAGGCAGAGGGAACATGTTATGCAAGCATCTTATCATAATATGTTTAATATTTACGTTAAGAAATATAAAAACAGTAATTATTTCATCATTTCATCCAATTTAGCCTTGACCCTGTTACCTACTAAATAATCAGTCTAGTATTTTTAACATTTTTAATTTGTAAAATATTATGAACAATGTATTTTGTTACTAGAGATTTTTCTAAATGGCAACTCTACTAGAATAAATTTAAGTATTCCTTTAGTAAGGCAGTGGTAGCGAAGTGGTAACGCGCTCGCTTGGGAAACCGAGTGAAGCGAGTTCAAATCCCGGGTCTCGCACTTCTGATATTTTCATGTGCGAATCATTTCCAACTTGATTACTACTTGTCTTAACGGTGAAGGAAAACATCGTGAGGAAACCTGCATGTCTTAGAGAACTTAGCAAGTTATCGAAAGACATGTAAAGTCCGCCAACCCGCACTTGGCCAGCATGGTGGACTATGACCTCCCCCTCGTATTGAAGGGAGGCCCGTGCCCAGCAGTGGGACGCTAAAAAGGGCTGAATACATTCCTTGAGTAACTTGGGTTTTTTATCATGGTGAGCTGTAAGGCGAGTGATAACATTTTGGTTGTACCAAGTAAATTCAACAGAATTCAAATTTATAATAAGCTATAAATTAATTGAAATTTTCAATACAAATGGACTTGTATCGAACTGTCCATGTTAGTCGTCTTAACGTTCAGTCACAAATAATAAGTATGTGATATAACATAGATATACAAAAACTAAGATAAACAATTATCGTTTCAAAAGTGTCCTCAAAAAGAAGCGCACAATTCGAAATTGAATTGCGCTTTTTTCAAATCACTTTGGTTAATTGATTTTCGGATTTTAAAAACGTTTAAAAAAGTACTTTATGTGATGTCCTTAAGTTCGAATTTGCGTTTAGACAGTTAATTAGAGCTTTCGATTTTTTAATTTTATTCTATGGTTTGACTTAACGTCACATGTCGACGCCATTTTTTGAAAAGATATTTGTAGGAAATGTGTATCTATCTATGCATATAATACATAATATATTATATATTTTAACATATAAGTATCGTATCGTCAGCAAGTAAGCTTCAGTTAGGAAATAAATATTAACACTTTCTAAGCCTTTGGGAAGATAATTTATAAAAAAAAAAATTATAACCATGCGTAGTACATATTAAAACGGAAACGTACTTCCTGGCGCTTGTTAGGTATTATTCTTTGTACGCACAACATTTTTAATTAACACTACACTCTTTTGCGTTACTAAAAGACAGATGGTGCCGCCTTAAGGATGAAAGGAATACCAATATCCAGTTATGATCGTATCAAAATTCTAGTGCACAGTATTTAAAATAATATGTCACATTACACAGAACTATAGCCTTATTAACATTTTTGTTTCGAATACCAGCATTTTATCTCATAAATAACGCTATAAATATTTTTAAGTGTGTTTATACGTTTATTTTTCATTCAACTTTATTTGTAATTATAAACTATAAATAAATCACTTTTAAATATAACTGCCTTTTCGGTTATATTTGCGGATTTATTTTACTTTTTGGTTTCCGATGTCGTTTTGAATATTTTACGGCAATGATGGTCACGGGAGAGACTAAGGTTATAGACGTCTCCCGTGACCATCATTGCCGAAACGTTAGGAACCAAAAAATCAAAATGAGTCCGCGAAAAAATCCGAAAAAGTATTTTTATTTAAAATATTCAAATATTCGCGTAAATCTATGAAAGTATTATATATAAAGCACTTACAAAAGGTTAATATTGGTCTTGAGAGGTGAATGTAGCTCATCCCCTACACCTATCTACAAGTCGTTATATGAAAAATATTCTCACGGTCTGTCTAGCGTAGCCCTTGGTTCTGCACTGGTGACTTCCACGGCGCCTGAACTCTTTAATAATTGAAGAATCGTTGCCCTTACAATAAAACAAATTGTCCCCGCGTTATTTACAACCGTTACCATTATTATTTCAAAATACCCGTAAAAAAATACTGAATCTGTGTAAGTTTATTTCTAACATAGAATGTTAGAAAAAAACCTACATTTATTTGACGACACGTTTGGCTCAGTTTGTAGTGACCCTACTTGCTGTGTCAGCGGTCTCAGATTCGAGTTCCGCTGGGGGCATTCATCTGTGTGATGAACATGAATGTTTGTACTCCAGTCTTGGGTGTTTATAATATGTATGTATGTTACATATGTGTTTAAAGTTATATAAGTGTAGTGTATCAACTATCTGGTATCCATAACACAGGCCTCGTAGCTTACCATGAACTAGATGGTGCTGTGTGTTAATGTCCCGATATATTTATTATTTCTAAGCGTTGTGATTTACTACGAGAAGGAAACTTTCAATTTCTTTTAATGCAAAGGAAAAATCATATTACACAATTGATCTTTGCGATCCGCGTTAAAGTTGTTGGGAGTGACCTTTTAATGTTTACCTCTGAATAGGTAAAGATGTCGTAATAATAAAATAGCCTTATATAAGTTGTCTGGTAGAAGTGCTGCTTATTGCCAGGACGTTATACAAAGTTGAACACGAACAGCACAGAGATTTCCGGCAACCTTTAACCCGCGGGCTAAAATAATGGGAAATGTAATAAATGCTTATCTAACATATTATGTCACAGGGAAATGATAAAAGGAAAGTGCGGCAGGTGGATTGGAGCAAGTCGCGGGACAGAGGAATGCGTCTATTATTAGAGGCCGGCGCCGGCGCGCCACCAACAGGGAGCCCTGTTTGATTCATGACGGCTCCTCATTAATTTTACATCGAAACACTCAGGTGAACACTTGAGCAAATTCACAGTGAAGGAGTTCGTAAGTACTGCAGACGTATGTAATAAATAAATCTATACGCTTAAATTTGACTCGATTATTTCATTGGATGTTATTTCACTACAAGCTAATATTATCACGTACGATGCGAGGAAATTTTTAATAGCGGAAGTTTCGAAGTTAGTTCTTCCTTCACCCGTGATTTATATAAATAAATATATCACAGATCGGCCTTGCCTAATGAAATATGAAAAAAAATACAGTTGGTTCAATATCCACTTGCTTACCAAATAAATTAATAGGTACGAAATTTTCCGAACATTCACAAGTTAGTTTTCTTAGAAATTACTAATCCATTGCTACAAATAAAAAAAATATACATTAAATAAGCAGATGAAAATGAACAAACTTAAAACTTTTTGTCGATTTCATTACATGTTATCTTTCTGGCATTTCCTCACGTACCTACCTATCTCAAAATAAAGTATTCTATGTTCAATGTCCTATATTCACCTATACTACTTATTTAGGTAAAGTAGATAAATGAATTCATTTTAAACTTGAGCAGACTCCAACAGGAATGTCGAGTGGCAAGCACGTACAGCGTTATCGCAGGCTGTGGGCATCTCAGGCGCGCCGGCGCCGTCCGCGCTATTGTTGATGTTCCGACCCATGCAGTATACTGTATACAGTGGGCCGACTACGGGCTACGGTGTAATGTACGATAGGTTCTTTTTAAATCATGCAAGGTAAGATCATATTAAATTAGATGGGCATATGGTTTTATGAAAATATATTATGTTCAGCCTCGCTTCGCTCAGGTTCGTCCCTAGCTTGCTTCCCAATACAAACTTTCATCCCCATTTTCACCCACTTAACGAATGATTTCCGGGATAAAAATATATCCTATAGTATCCTATGTCCTTCCCAAGGTCTCAAACTATCTGTTTACCAAATTTCATCTAAATCAGTTCAATAGATCCAGAGATTATTCCCTACAACGTCACAAACTCACAAACTTTACCTTTTCTTTATAATATTAGTATAGATGAAAAAAACTACAACTATTACATACCTACTTAGTTTATTTGGGAAAGCTATTTAGCTTAAAAAGATGAGGTAGGTATGAAAATCTCAATCTTTTGCTAAATTAAAAAAAAACAAATGACAGAGCGTTAGATTAATTTTGTATTATCTGTCATAGCTCTTTAATTATGATATATATTTTTTTAATTTTAGATTTATTTATTTTAGATGATAAGTATATCATGTTGCTTTATTCGAAAAGTTCTGTAGATATATTAAGTAATTAAATTTCCCATTTCTTTTGCTCAAGTGTGCCTGCAATATATTTCTTCGAAAGCTTCGATGTCTCGACAGTATCAGTATCATCCGTACATAGATCATGTCATTGGGATCTATAAATATAAAACGCCACATCGCCAGCGAAATGTATTAAATATGCTAGTGTATATCTTTCTCTGTGGCGGCGATCTGTCTAGGTTTCTTTTCGAGCCTTGTTTTTGTACATTTTTACTACACTATCTTAGTGAGCTAAATTTATAGCAGTAAATTTTTTACAATACTTTCATAGATTTACGCGAATACCTATTTGACTTTATCGCAGATTTACTTTAACTTATAAATTTTGTTAATTTTCTACAACTACAGATTTGTTTAGTATCTATATGTAAATATCGCAATAATTATACCTTAATATATGTTTAGTATTTTTATATATGGTATCATTGTTTTAAGTCGTTTCGAATGACATCTGACAATTGAATTCGGTATTGTTCGGTCGGTGTGACGAGAGCTCCTCTTTTGAATTGTTACGGTTACAACGTAAAATAAAGTATTTTCGGTCGGATTAATTATAGTTTTATATATTTAAATATTACATTTACATATTTATATATTACATTTGACGACACGTTTGACTCAGTTTGTAGTGATCCTACTTGCTGCGCCAGCGGTCGCGGGTTCGAGTCCCGCTGGGGTCATTCATTTTTGAGACGAGCACGAATGTTTGTACTTCAGTCATAGGTGTTTATATTTATAATATGTATGTATTTAAAATTATACATGTGTAGTGTATCAACTATCTGGTATCTATAACACAAGCCTCGTAGCTTACCATGTAACTAGATGGTACTGTGTGTTAATGTCCCGACATAAAAAAAACATACACACAAACACCTCTAGTGATCAGTGCCTACGCAGGATTAAGGATTCTGAGCCCGACAACGCTTCCACGGCTAAGTCCTCATACAAGGTACACTTTATATTATAATTTTATTAGGGTTAGTTTAGATATATTTAACTCCGCGTAACGCGGATCATACAACATATTTGCAAAGTGTTTTAGAAATATTGTTATTTAACATTACTTTTGCCTCACACGAATACCTAACCGCTTAAGAAAAAAACTAACATTTGAACCAGAAAAGTTGAAGCCATGCTAAAGGCATTTGCTCGTTTGCAGTTAATACGCATACAATATGCCGTTACAGTTGCCATAAGGCTCTATCGGCATTTACAGAACATTGACTCTACAATAGTGACCATTACTCGATAGAAGGATTTTCATACAAAATATGTACTAAAAATACTTTCATGTTTATTTACTAGAAAAACAAATCATTTTTGAAATTTTAAAACTAAACTATATTAAAATATCTTGCTTTTTTATTGTCCACTTGGGTGTTCTATTCACAATGGTCAGTTAAAACCTTTCACGTACGATTGTATTTCAGTTTTTATTACGACGACAATTTCGTCACTTTACGCTATAAGCTTAACAAATAGACAATTGAATGATGTAATACTAAAATGTGGATAAAACAGCCCCCTGGCGAGTTTTATTGCCTATAAAGTTTGGTTGGCACTTCTGGAATTACTGCACATGAATTGGGCATTTTATATAGCAATAAAGAGAAATTTTGGTGTATATTACCATATTTTAAGAGAGTTACCATGTTTCACCCACGTTAATAACGTAACGGATGTTAAATGGAAATAGCTTCTGGAATAATATGTAAATATCTATTAAAATTGTAAGCAAAACAATTTAGTGACAATATTGTGTTAGGATAAAAAATGGCGGCAGGCTAGTGAAAGGTCTGCTAAAGACGTCTAGTTCCCATTGTCAAGACGTTCTCGAAAGTGCGGTAGTTAGCGAGCCAGTGTCATGTCGACTTAAAAGCGTGTTAGGGTTGTCAACTTTAAAAAAAAAAGAATATTAAAGAAGTTTAAAGTTGTATTCTTACACGTTAGATTTATACGATTATAAACAATGAGACTAAAATTATATCATTTATATAATCAACATATTTATAGTTTTTAATTACTATTTTGATCTCTTTCAGAAAGACAAATACCCAACCCTATACAAATGTTGCGCCCGCGCCGTTCCGCGAAGCTGTTGTCGAGTCAATACCTCTCCACTCCAGACAAGTTCGGTAAGACCGGGGTCGGGACTCATGTTGTTTAGAAGATCTTTCACATTCTTCAATATTTTAAGTGAAAAAATATTTAATCTGTACTTTAAGGTAAATAAACATTAATATTACGTTTTGCCGTAAGTACCTACCTAAATAAGATAATAAAAAGGAAGATCTAACGGCTCATTCCTTGCCAATAGTCGTAAACTGGAGAAGAATATATTTTATAAGGCTTTTTATTGCCGTTTTCGTCTAGACTCAAAAATATTATTGCTTCCAGACAAATAAATTTTACTAAAAGCTTATAGAGAACGGAACGAACATAACATTTCATACATAACATTTCGGTAACTAATAGGAAGAGATTAAGATAAAACGTTTACATAAAATATAATATCTATACTAATATTATAAAGAGGTAAAGTTTGCGACGTTGTAGGGGATAATCTCTGGATCTACTGCACCGATTTAGATGAAATTAGGTAAGAAGTTAGTTTGAGATACTGGGAAAGACATGGGATACTTTTTATCCGGGAAATCTTCCCTTAACGGGAAGGAAATGGGGATGAAAGTTTGTATGTGGAATCAAGCTAGTGTAAGGTATAAGTAACTACAGTTTTTTTTGCCAAAAATTTAATATTTTGTTAGATCGTGTCACTCATTAGTTTTATACGTACCTGTAAGAATTGAATTGACTCGAAAATATTTCAATTCCGATCGCGACGACAGAAAATCAAACCGTCTAATAAACGTCACGTTTTGAAATATCAATGTCATGTTCCCGGTACACATATCGAAATTTCATGGAAACAAATCGATTGTTTTCCACGTATCCAAATTTATTTTAGTGATAGGAAATGTAACATTATGAATTGTTTTCTTGGAAGTGTATAAAGCTTAGTTCAGGACGGTTGATTCCCCATACAAATTTTCATCCCCATTTTCACCCCCTTAAGGGATGATTTCCGGAATAAAAAAAATCCTATATCCTCCACAGGGACTCAAAATTTTCATCTAAATCGGTCCAGTAGTTTTTCAGTTAATTCGTTACAAACATACAAAAAATACAAATCTTTCCTCTTTATAATAATAGTGTAGATGTAGATTCAAGAAAGTAATAATTTGAATAATCATACAACTCTTATGTTTATCATAAATTAAGTTTAACCACTACTTATTAGCCAGTTGAGTATAAAGATAAGTGATCAGCTCGATATTACATTTTTACCTCACTTTTGTTTCATCGTGGCATAACACAATTTTTTCATAATTTTCACATTAATATAACTTCATAGTATAACATACTTGTACATAATGAATAATATGCTATATTTAATATGTTATAGTTACATATATTTTACATAATCACGCAAAACTGTATCAAAAAACGTACATATATAGCAGAACTGCTTGTTACAACGTTTATTCTAATATCTATCCATATTTGTAACACTAATGTACCATGTCTGTTTTCATTAAAGTTTATTCTAAAGAACAAAACCAATAACCGTTTCAATTGTTTCTAATATTATAAATGCGAAAAGGTGTTAATTTTGTTCATTCACTCACTCTCGCTTCGCTCGGGTTCGTCTCTAGGTGATTCTTTAAATTAACATAACTTTTTTATTTGTGAACCGGTCGAAATAAAACGAATACTAAATATTAAGTAAAGCTTACCACAATATATTAATAAAAACTGCATCCACATCGGTTAAGCCGTTCCTGAGGTTAGAGCGCACAAACGCACAGACAAACAGACAAAAATACTAAAAATCGTCGTTTTGGGTTCTATTACGTTAATAAAGAACCTCTAAAGAATAATAGTTTTTTCTCAAATATCTTCCATGTACAAAACAGCGATCAGTTATACCTTTATGACATGTATAGATATAGATTGGTTGAGGTCGCTATTTATAAATAAAACCAACACAAACATAACATACAAGTACTTAGCATTAAAAAAAGTTGTCGTCCTACCTCATTATAATAATAATGAATGTTGGGACATTAACACACAGCACTATCTAGTCCATCGTAAGCTACGGGGCTTGTGTTATGGATACCAGATAGTTGATACACTACACATATATAACTTTAAATACATACATATTATAAATATAAACACCCATGACTGGAGTACAAATTCGTGCTCATCACACAGATAAATGCCCCCAGCGGGACTCGAACCCGCGACCGCTGGCACAGGCTGGAGTAGGCTCACTACCAACTGAGCCAAACGTGTCGTCAATTACTTCAACATAGAAGATACATAAGACGTTTGCAAACATAGTTCTATTAGCTGGTACAGTATGCAAAAAAGAATCATTGTTAGAGTCAATGGGCCGTCAGCGGTTTTACCGTTTGCGTCGTAAAGCAAACATCACGGGCTATTGGCCAGATTATATGATTAAGTCATTAAATCGTCAAGGTATCTTTTGTGGGTGTCAAACCCGGGCGTTATCTATCGGGAGCAGTAATTAGGGTCACCGCGAATGAGTTACGTTAGTGGATAATATGTCGTAAACTTTGTTTCATACTTGCTCCTTGATCTTTATAATCACTTATTAGTTATTACGTATCAAAATAAAATAGATAAATAAATCTGTTTACAGATTTATATATTATTATTTTTTTAAAATAAAATGCTAACATTTTATATAAAACTTTCTTCTCTTCGTAAAAATTTTTTTCTCTTCGTTCTAACCTTAATCTAACTTTACAAGTTCCTTCACACTCTTCTTCCTTCTATACTCGCTCCTTTACTGTCCAATCTGTCCGTCTGTGGAACTCGTTACCAAATAAAGTAAAACAGGCTGATTCGCTGTCACTATTTAAAAAATTAATAAATGAATATTATCTTAACTTATAAGTGCTAAATGGTGTCATATTTTATTTTATATGTATAATGTTTATATGTGTGTATGTATGTATATATGTATGCATGTATGTATGTATGTATGTATGTATGTATGTATGTATGTATGTATGTATGTATGAATGTATGTATGTATGTGTGTATGTATGTATGTATATATATATATATATGGTATATATGTATATATCTGTTTGTATATGTATGTATTTATTGTATCTCTCTTTAAGATTGTTTGCACCCCTTCCTTCTCTCTTCTTTCTCTCTACCCAAAGGTTGCCTAGAATAGATCGCTCTCTAGCGATAAGGCCGCCTATTGTACTATATTCCTTTAATCTGTTTCAACTATATAATGTTAAATAATGGTGTGCTATAAAGAATATTTCATTTCATTTCATTTCATTATCTTTTTATAGACAGACAACTTGTCTCTAACAAGTATATATCGCTTTGAGATGGTTAAAAAACTTTAGTCTCTCCCGTGACCATGATTGCTGTACAACATTCGAAACGTCGGGAACCAAAAACCAAAATAAATCCGCGAAATAATCCGAAAAGATAGTTTTATTTAAAACCAGCAGAACCCGCGTCTTCGCTCGCGCTACAACTGCAAGAAATCTCTAAAAGGGTAGTTTCATACAAACTTTCACCCCCTATTTACCCAATGAATTTGAAAAAATGCTAAAAAACGTATTTATTTAATTTTATTGAAGAGCATTAATACCAAGTTTCAAGTAATTCTGATCATATTTTTTTTTGATTGTATTATAACGTGTTTTCCCGTGGGAATTAGATAATCTCCCGAGGTAAAAAGTAGCCTATGTCACTCTCCAGCTTTCCAACTATCTACACACCAAAAATCACGCCAATCAGTCATTTCGTTTCGACGTCAAAGAAAGACAAACAAACACAAACAAACAAACACACTTTCACATTTATAATAATATTAGTATGCATGTCAAATATTCGCGTAAATCTAAGGAAGTATTATATTAAAAAGCTAACAATTAAATATGTTATTATTAAAGTCGTTATAACACCGAACTGACAATATTCGCGTACATAACATTACGTAGGTAGGTACCTTCATTTTCCGTCACACAGATTTCATACCGGTTTTGGAAAGATTGCTATCTAATTTAATAAACCAGCAAGTACAACCCCGTAACAGTATAATTATGTTAAAATAATGTTCGTAAAGTGTTAATTAACAGCGAGTCGAGTTGAACGCAAAAGTTACTTGATAAGTGACTCATTTGTATATTAAATACAACTTATATAATGTGCCTATTATACGTTAGAATATTGTATGATGATGTTAGTTAGCCAGTAAGTCAACAACTCAACAATGTTTATTATTTTTTAAGTTATTGTTATTAAACTATATATATAATAAAATTCTGAGTCAAATCTGCACATTAAAAACTTTTTGGAAAATACTATTGAAATAGTCATTATTATCGATACGAAGGCCAAATCTATAGTTTTTAAACTTTTTGTCTGTCTGTCTGTGAACGCATCACGAGAAACCCACTGAACAGATTTTGATGAAATTCGGAATGATGATAGCTGGTTTCGCGATCAACATATAGCATCAGCTTTCACTGCAGGAAATTTATAATAACCGTGATGTGTCGCTAGTTTTAATAACATAAAAAAATATAGAATCACATAAAATTTGATGAAAATTGTATATCTGATATTCAAAACAGTTAATAGAAAAAACTTTTAATAAATTCGCCGTACATAACATAAAAATATATTATAAAAAATACACATACATATGTATATGATACAATCATTATATATTAGCTTGTTCCGTTGTTACAAGTACTCTAAACATTCATAAATTTCGTTCTCATTTTCCCTATCTCAAACAACCAAGTACAGTTAAGACATAAAGGAGAGTCAATAAGGCACCTCACGAAGTCTGACACGCATTAAGTGGACGCTACAAAACCAATGACAAACGGCCGGTAATTACCTTCATAGCTACCTCATGAATTCTAGACTTTTAAGCGCTAATTTAGAATTATCGTACCTTTAGTGTTACAAATAGCACTTTCAAGCTCTGTAAATATGTTTTTTTTTATTTCAACACACAACACCATCTAGTTCCATGGTAAGCTACGGGGCCTGTGTTATGG